CACACCCCCAGGGGCTGGCCTGTTGTTGTGGGATTCCCTGTGGCTGCAAGTCCTGAACATTCCAATCGGTTGCCCAAAAAGGGATTCGAAGTCGATTCGGATTCCCCCGTAGGGCCCCCCAGTCTCCCTCGTAGGGTTTCCCCCACGGGCTTCCGGATTCCCCCCAGAAGCTTTTCCCATAGGACTCACGCATCGGATTCCCGCACAGGACTCCCGCATCGGATCCACAATAGGATTCCCAATCGAATTTCCCGTGAGGGCCCCCTTCCATAGGACTCCTCGATATGTTCCCCCTCAAGGTTTCCCCAGTAAGGCTCTCCCAAGGGATTCCCCCATCATATTCCTCATGCGACTCACGCGTAGGACTCGCGCGTCATATTTCTCCATCGGCTTGTCACATCGGATTCCCCCCCTCTCTGTCCCCCCGTGCGAATCAGACATATATAAGACTCTCCAGCGGGATCCCCCCCATCGGACTCCCCGTAAGACTCATCCACCAAATTCCCCCCATTATATTTCCCCATTTGACCCCCGCTTGAGAATATCTCATGCGATTTCTACATAATACTCTCCCCACATGATACCCCACTTGTATTCATCTTTTGATGTTAAACATGACGGAAGTAGTATGGAACGGACCTCTGATCAAATTGGATCGCAAACGGTGGGTCCAAATCAGATCGGAATTGATTCTAGATCGGGAGCAGTCGATTTGGATTCCACGCGGGTAGGATTCCCCACAGGACCCTCCGATAAAATGTTCCACAAAGCTCCCCCAGAAGATTGCCCCGTAGGATTCCCCCTAGAGGCTTCCCCCCAAGACCAGAATGTCCCCCCCGTAGCATGCCCTCATCCGGCTCCCCCACAAGAGCCCCTCCCTCATCCGAGGCTCCCGTCGGATTTCCTCGCAAGTCTGCCTTAAAGGACCGCCTCGCTGGATTCCCCACGTATTATTCCGTCACAGGATTCCCCAGTAGATCTCCCCCCCGCGGGATTCCTATTTAGGCCCCCGAATGGGACTCACAATTGGACCCTCCGCAAGATTCCCCCAATGGATTCTCAATAAGAGTTCCCCATCGGACTCCTTCAGAGGTTTCCTATATACGGACTCGCACGCAGGAGCCCCGCCTAGGATTAACTTAAAGCGTTCCCCATGGGACCTCCCGCAGAATTCCCCGATAGACATCCCCGATAAGATCCCCACCTAATGCCCCCCAAAATGTTTCCCCCATCGGGCCCCCCTTGAGGCCCTGGGAGCGGTCGCCCTTCTCGTAGGCCAGTGGTATCCCCTCCCACCCGAGCTTCTGAGAGAACCAGTGGGTCTGACCCAATGGCCCAGCCCCCCAGAACGATGAGGTCGCCCTCCACCGTCTCCCCCTTTTTTTTTTTCTCTCTCTCTCTCTCTCTCTCTCTCTCTTTTTTTTTTTCTCTCTCTCTCTCTCTCTCTTTCCCGCATCCTCGTCCTCCTCCTTCTCGTCCTTAAGCTCCTCCTCCTCATCCTCCTCCTCCTCCTCCTCCTTCTAGTCCTCCTCCTCGTCCTCCTCCTCCTCCTCCTCCTCCTCATTCTAGTCCTCCTCCTCCTCCTCCTCCTTCTTCGATGCGTCAAAGCTGTCGGCCGCGGCCGCGGCCGCTGGTGGCGCTGCCGCGGCGGGGCCCTCCCGGCCGAGGCAGCCGCGGCCACGACGGCACGCCACCCTGCTCCGTTCCCCCCTGGGATAGGACGAGCGCTCTCCACTGCTCGCACATCGGGAGCGGCCAAGAGGGGGGTGCCCAAGAGGGGGGGGGTGCAAGTCATGACTGGCGGCATGTGCGCGGTCCAGCGGGGGGGCCAGGGACGTAACGGAACAAGAAGAGGCGCCGCGAAGTCTCGGGAGATCTCATGGCCCCCGCCATGATATCCACCCCCCCCTAGTCATCACCCCCCTCTTTGCCGCCCCCGAGCAAAGTAGCTACTCGCACATGGCCTGGATACGCCGCGGGGGATGCACGATAAATTACATCGAGGCAGACACGTGTTTCTCGGACGTCTGCGAGTGGGCACTTTGCGAGTAGTGGAACGCGCTCGGTGATGAGAGAGAAGCACGTTCCCGCCCTCTCGTGGGACCCCCCCCCATTGCTGGGACGCTCCCGACGAGGCAGCCGCGTGCTGGCCCGGGGGTGGCGCTCAGGCTCAGCCCCCCCTCCAGTTGCAGCTTCGCCCGGACAGGAACGGCCTGAGGGGGTGGGGGGCGGAGAGGGTACACGCGGACTTGGCACGGGGGGCTCCCTCCACCACCCGTTCCCCTCTGCGAGCACCGCGGGCATGCCGCCTGTGCCTCGAAGAGTGGGATCGTGGTGGTTGCGGGGCGTTGGCCCGGCTTGCAGAACGCAACGCCCTCGCACCATCGATCGATTCCTCCCGCTTCCCTCTCCCGTGTGGCCGGCTCCCAGGACCAGCTTCCCTGAGCCGCGCACGCGTCGCTGTGGCCCCCCCCCACGGGGCCCCCGCAGACCGACCCAGCACGAGGGCAGACGCAAGAGGATGGGGTCGACTGCTCCGGTCGGAGGAAGCGGCCTCCTGCGACTCAAAATCTCAGGCAACGAGACCCCGCTTGCCAAAAAGTATTCCTGTTCAAACCTGCCCGCCCCGTGCTGCTGACGATCATAGCATTCCCTGGAAGGGCGGGCGGGGGAGAGCGGAGGGGCGAGGAGGCAGGGGATGGAGGGGGGGGGGAGGAGAGAGGGAGAGAGCAGGGGAGAGAGAGGAGCAGAGGGGGGAAGGAGGGGAGGGGGGAAGGAGGGAAGGGGGAGGGGAGGGAGAGGGGGCGCGAGGGCGGCGTGCTGTTTTACGAGCTAAGAGTGTCATAAAGATGACGGCTGAGCTCCGCCACAACAAGGCGGTCCGCGGCCCGACAGCCGCCGAGCCACCGCTCCTCCCGCTGGCCTGCGTCCGCAGGCATTGCCACGCCCAAGCGGCCAGCGCACGCTGCGGCTAGCTGGCCCGCCCGCCGGCAGCGCTGGATGAGGTGCGACGCTGTTTCCTCCTCGCCGCCGCATAGCCTGCAGGGAAGCCACGCGCCGGGGATAGTGCACTCGAACCGCCTGTGACTCGGAGCCTCCGGGCCGCCCAAGCCCTCACCGACCGGTCTGGAGCGCCCGCCTCGGCCAAGTCACATGCGCGCCACCTCGTTGCATCGTGCGCCTGGAGGTAGCCTCGCTGCGGCTCTTGCTTCCGCCAGGCGTCATCCTTTGCCGCTGCTGCTGGGTGGACGAGCCGCGCGCCGTAGGTTGACCGCCAACGCTTCCTTGCCGCGCGCGTGGCACCGCAAAGGGACGGGGCTGCCGCACCGAGCGCTTCTATCCCATGACCACGTAGCCAGTGGACCACCCAATGGCTCCATGTGCCCGGATGGGCCGCGGCCACTGCGCAGACCTGGGCTGCGTCGTTATAGCGTCTGTCCGTACTGATGCGTGTCCACAGCATTGGCGGGCGCGCGGTACGTGGTGGACCACCAGGACGTCCAACCCACTTCGTGAAGAATGACTGCCCGCGGCGCTGGGCCTGAGATGCCAAGGAGTTTCTGCGCGAGTTGCTCCTGGGCCCTGTTCAGCGTCTTCTCGAAAGCTGGGAGGTGAGCACATAGTTCAGCGCTGTACATAGTGGGTTGCCAGCTCACCACAATCCCTGGCCATGCAAAAACCCAACTCCGCGCGCACCAACGCGGAAATGTGCTGGATGCCCGTGGTCTCACACGCGCGGGCATCATCACCGTCGTCGTCCGCGTCGTCGTCGTCACCATCATTATCATCACCCTCCTCCTCCTCCTCCTCCTCCTCCTCCTCCTCCTCCTCATCATCATCATCATCATCATCATCGTCATCACGATCGCAGTCGCAATAAGCATCATCACCATCATCATCATCATCATCATCATCATCATCATCATCATCATCATCATCATCATCATCATTATTATCATCATCACCATCACCATCATATCATCATCATCGGCATCATCATCATCATCATCATCATCATCATCATCATCATCATCATCATCATCATCATCATCATAATCATCATCATCACTATCAGCATCAACATTCGCAACATCAATACCATCAACACCATCACAGACAGCATCAGCGTAAGCATCAGCATGATGAAGATGAACATCATCAGCATCAGCATCATCGTCGTCGTCATCATCGTCATCATGATCATCAGCATTGTCATCACCATAATCATCATCATCATCATCATCATCATCATCATCATCATCATCATCATCATCATCACCATGATCATCACTGCCATCATCATCAGCATAATCATCATCGTCGTCGGCATGATCCCCATCACCACTGGCATCATCATCACCAGCATCACCACCATCATGGTCATCATCAGCATTAGCATCGACACCATCATAGTCATGATCACCATCATCAACTACCACCACCACCAATCCCATCAGAGTCGTGGTCGGCATCACCATCATCGTCATCATCAGCATCACCATCCGCATCTCGTCATCGTCATCATCAGCAGCAACATCATCAACGTCGTCATCGGCGTCGTCCGCAGTAGCCTCATCATCAGCAGCACCACAATCATCATCATCGTCATCATCAATATCCTCCTCCTCGCCGTCGTCGTCATCCTCATCATCATCACCACCACCACCGTATCGTTTCGTCATTATCATCAGCAGCATTAGCATCACCACCACACTCAGCATCACCATCACCACCATAGTCATCGTCATCATCACCATCAGCATCATCACCATCATCAGAATCAGAATCATAATCATAATCATAATCATAATCATCATCATCATAATCATCATCATCATCATCATCATCATCATCATCATCATCATCGTCAGCATCATCATCATCATCATCATCCTCATCCTCATCATCAGCATCAGCATCAGCATCATCATCAGCAGCATCAACATCAGCATCATCATCTCCACCGTTATGTGCCGTCTCTTCCTCCCACCCATGCGCACCTTGATGCCCCATAGCCCAGGAATCTGTGCACGTTCCGCTGCCACCAGGTCCTCCCCCAGGCGACGCGGGAAGCGAGAAAGCACGGAGGCAGGAGACGCTGCCGACGCGCACACGCGCAAACACACGTGCACGCGATCAGACGAATTTCTCCCTCGCTGTGGCGTGGCATTGCATGCTGTCTGAGTCGATCCAGCCTGAATGTGAATAGGAAGAGGAGAAAGGAACCCATCGACAGCCGTCCAGGGCACCACTGATCAAAAACATGGAAAATGTCCCGCGAGTTCCAGCATAGGAAGACACACGTGTGGGTTGGTGAACGAGCGCCTGCGACAACACGGAGGCCAAGAGCAACAGCCTCACGGTCCACGGGAAGAGGAAAAAGAGGGCGCAGCGTCGCCGTACTGGTTCGCCGAGTGACCTGCTTCTCTTGCAGATGACAGTGGGTGAGAGGATCAACGGATGGGGAGGACGAGCGGGGAGGCGGAGGAGGAGGAGAGGGAGGGAGGAGGAGGAGGAATAGAGGGAGGGAGGAGGAGGGGAGGAGGGGGAGGAGGAGGAGACGAGGAGGAGGACGAGGAGGAGGAGGAGGAGGAGGACGACGAGGGCGAAGAGGGGCAGGATTGCGAGCTGCGGGCGCAGGAGCGCCGAGCGGGAGCCTCCCAGAGGCTCGCGGGTGGCCCCACGGTGGTGGTCTCGATCGGGGGCTGCCGCTGGCAGGCCGCCGGCTGGGCCTAGCTGGTGTTCAGTCTCCCCACCTCCCCCTCCTCCCTCCGAACCAGAATCCTCCCCCTCCTCAAAACTCCCTCCTCCCCCTCCCTCAGAGAAGAAATCCTCCTCAATCCCCTCTCCTCTCCTCCTCCTCTCCCTCCCTCCCCTCCTCCCTCCTCCCTCCTCCTCCTCCCTCCTCCCTCCTCCCTCCCTCCTCCTCTCCCTCCCTCCTCCCTCCCTCCTCCCCTCCTCTCCTCCTCCTCCTCCTCCTCCCCTCCTCCTCCTCCTCCTCCTCCTCCTACCCCTCCTCCCTTCCCTCCCCCTCTCCTCCTCTCCTCCTCTCTCCCGCTCCCCCACCTCCTCCTCCTCCTTTCTCCTCCTCCTCCTCCCTCCTCCACCTCCTCCTCCTCCTCCTCCTCCTCCTCCTCTCCTCATCTCCTCCCCTCCTCCCTCCTCCTCTCATCCTCCTCCTCCTCCTCCTCCTCCTCCTCCTCCTCCTCCTCCTCCTCCTCCTCACACCAACGCTCGTTCGCAATCACTCTCACGGCATCTCGATCGGAGTCGTGTGTGAATGGGCTGGCGGGGACACGCAACGCGTCAAGACCGGAATTCTATGTCCCTGATAATCGCAGGGTGGGGTTAACAAATTGCGGGGCTCGGGGGGGATAACAGGTTCGTCGTCCTGGCAACTCGCATGGACGGTGAGGTGTTAGTATGGTAAAACGAAAGCCGGCTCGCTCTGGCGGGGCCTCCTCGGAGGGATCGGAGCAGCACGAACGCTGAATTGGTGAGAATCCCATGGCCGTGCAGCACGTTCGTTAGGAATTCTAAAATGATGAGAACCCCATACTATTGCCACCCGTTCGTGGTAGTGATGCTTAACACAAGAAGATCGCACCTTCGATTCGTACTTTCTCTGGCGATACTGAAATTCGGCCTCGCCGCTCCTTTCCCCCGACCAACTCTGTCCGGACCTAGGATAATAAACTCTCAAAGGTTCAGGGCAAGGGTCTTTTATCATCTGAGGCATGCGGTTTCTCGCGCAGAAGAAATGCACCAGGGGGGACGTAGACGACACAGCATAAGATCAGGAGGAAACACGGACGGGGGACAGGGAGGGGAAGGATGGAAACATTCAGATTATCGAAACAGCGATGTCCTGGCAGCGGACGAGGACAAGGACAAGCTGGCGGCAACCAAATGGGACAAGAAAGGCCACTTTGTCGCCGTGATTGTCGGAAACACGCTCCCCCTGCCAGACGATCCGAGGTAGCTCGGGCACCGCCTGGAATTGTGGGGCTGCTCCTGGGTGATGGCCCATCCCATGCAGACCGAGAACACGACCTGCAGGACCCACCCCCCCCGAGCTGAGAGCCACGGGCGTGAGGCCGAGAGAGCGGAGGGAGGAAGGGGCACCTGGGGCCACAGGTGGAGAGAGGGCAAGAGACAGCGGGAGCCTGGAGCCCAGAGGAGAGCCCGCAGCCGGGGCTTGAGGGCCAGGAGGGGGAACTCCCGAGAGGCCAACCTCTGTGCAAAGGCGGAGCGGGCTCTCAGTGCGCTCGGCAATCATTGAAGGGAAACTGGGACACACAAATAAATACACACAAATAAAAAGATTCCCCATATTTTCCTATATTTTCTGGGTTTTTGTCTTCCCCACCACTTCCCATATTTTCCCATATTTTCTGGGAAATCGACGATTAATTGTGTCTGTGTGTTTTTCCCTCCTGAATCATCCTCTTCTCTCTGGCTCTGGGCGGGAGGGCGGCTCGTCGCCGGCAGCCCCCGGTCCCAGACCCGCGACACGCGGGACTCGTGGGCCCCCCGAGCGCTCAACGTGGGGCCAGCGTTTCGCCGCGGGCAGCGGGTCACATTGAAGGGGCCCCAGGACACACAAATAAATACACACAAATAAAAATAGTCCCCATATTTTCCCATATTTTCTGGGTTTTCGTCTTCCCCCCCACTTCCCATATTTTCCCATATTTTCCTGGGGATCGACGATTAATTGTGTCTGTGTGTTTTTTCCCCTCCTGAGACACGCGGGACTCGTGGGCCCCCGAGCGCTCAACGTGGGGCCAGCGTTTCGCCGCGGGCAGCGGGTCACATCCCAAGGGGCCCAAAGCCGTTCCCCAGGCGCATCAATTGTGGATCAGAAGCGCCCGTCGTTGCTCTCTGGCGACGGCTCAGAGATCCGAGGTCGCCAGCAGTCGCCTCGCGTTCGCGCCCCTTCCTCAGCTCGCGCAGGTGGCGCCGAGGCCGCCGGGTTCGGGGGCAGGGGTCCTCCGGTGTACCACGGCGTAGATGCCGAGAGTGGCCAGCGTCTTCAGCGGCCGCAGCAGGAGGAGGGGGGGCAGCGCGTACATGTAGCCGAACAGTCGCCAGGAGTGGAAGAGCCTGGCCGACAGAGGCGGGGAAGGGAGGGGGACACGTCACTGTCGAGACCGTGCCCAACGCAAGAGCCGAGGAAGACAGCCGTGGTGCTACCACCAGGAGCGCCAACTCAGGAGCGAGGTCCCCTTCTGGCCCCCCAAACGACTGGGTGCACGAGGATGAGCATCGTTTCACCGATCCCCATCCCCACTGGTGTGGCCTTGGCCCACTGGCCGATTTACCCCCCTAGATGGGGATGCAGGCTGTTCCCCTTGGGTTTTGAGGGGTATATCCCCAACTAGGGTGGTGGGATGATGGGGTCGAGATGGAGATGGGGACGGGGATAGGGATCGGTTAAACGATACTGAGAGGAGTGCTGGAGGAGCAACCTTGGAGAGACCCGAAGAACAGCGAGCCCCTTCCAAACTCCAAGCTGTTCCTTGGTACCGGCCCACGGTGCCCCCGGTTCCGCCTGCGCACTCCTCGCGGCGAAGACTCTCAACGCCTGGAGGCCCACTCCCGCTGCCCTCCTTGGCGCGGCCGCCTCCTTGTCCCCCTCTCTACGACTTCAAGTGTGCCCGTAGACCCCCGGCACGGGCGGTGGCTACCGGAACGTGCTGTGCGCTGGTCCCCGCCGCTGATCACCAGTTGCGTCAGGGTCTTGGCTGTTCAGTCGAAGCTCAAGTCGGAGCAGAAGCACAGGACAGGAAGGTCGATGTTCAGAGGGGGCGAGAGGGATGAGCATAAACTACATAACTAGACAGAGGGGGAGAGAGAGAGAGAGAGCAGCCAAATCACAATAGCCAGTCCTGACATCTATGCATACGCACACCGATACATCCACATGTGCATCTACATACACGCATACACGTATACTCAGACGAATACGCACATGCATACACATACACCTAAACATGCATACGTGTATCTAGGTGTGTAAGCCCATACGTTTAAATACGTGTGTGAATCCGTGCAAGTATCTACGCAATCAAACAAACAAGCAGACATCTATGTATATATATGTATATATACATACGTCTATACGGCATATGCACATACATATACCCATGTGCCTATGCATGCACATGCACAACCATAACCATACATAAGCATGCAATCCTACACATACGCATGTACACATGCGTATACGTATACAGGTGCATAAACCTATACTACATAACACTTGCCAACTACACACATGCGCACCCACACCGATACATAAGCATCATAACTGCATATCTATATATGTATATATGTGTCTTTAGATAATTACATGTATGAAAGCACGTGCTCATATATACGTGTGTAATTATACACGCATGGATGTGTATAAGCAATATAGATGCGTATATATACATATACATATGTATGTATACACACAAGTTAATTTAGCCATGTGTATATATATATACACATCTATATCGGGAAGCACTGCAAACGTGAAGAATCGACTTCCACCCAAGCAGCAGGGAACCAATACGCCCATGGCCGCACCAAGACGTCGGCAATCCTCGGCGCATGCCGTGTCAAGCAAGCATGGTCACCACGTGCCGTGTGCGTGCCATCATTGCGCACATCGACATGATAGGCTGTCATATTCTGCACGCGCACCCAATCCGCCAAGACTCACGGCCAGAAGATATAATGCGCTCTGTCGATACTGAGCGGCTACGCGGAAGCCGATCTTGCAAACTATGCGCGTGCCAATCAATACTCATGTGGGCGCCTGGCACCCCATCCATATTCAAACGACGAGTCCATCGTACGGTCAATCGATCATCTGACGACGAGACTCTCACGACGATGCCCACATTGACTGATTCAGGATGCCACGATCTGGCTTCGTCTCAAGCGCTGCTTGAGGAGGAGGGGGAGGAGGAGAAAGAGGAGGACTGCAGTGTAGTGTTGGTACCATCAAGGGTAGGCATAAACATTTTGAAGTAGGATGGGGCACTTGGGCTCTCCCACCCTTGAAATAGGTGCTCGATGTTGTCACCTGGTAATGGTGGGTCATATGCGTGTAGCGCATACTCTGTGGCAGCCACCTCTGCCTCGTAGCATCGTGACCGGGGGTCGACGCATGTGTGTCAGGCGTCCCATCATGGGGGGACGCCGAATGATGGACCCAAGCATGATGTATGACAGCAGTGTGTGTGTGTGTGTAAATGTGATCCCCATGTTGTGGCAACATTGGTGCCAATAGAATGCACCAAACCGAATTCAAGCACGACTGTGCGTTCTCAAGGGGGGCACGGTTTGTCCACCCCACGGGGGGCGCAAACATAGCTCGGTCTTCAAGTGACCAAATCGGTCCTCATGGGATGCCGGCGGAGCTTGTGCGGAAGAAATCCGGGGCATAGGTGGACGCCTCCCGAGGGTGGCACCGGGGGCCTAGGATAGTGGACGTACCCAGTTATGACCCCGTCCGATTCCAGGGCAGCCCCACTCCCGAGGTCAAACGGCCACGAGGCCAAGACGAGGTTCCGATGTTGGCACCTTGTACAGATGAGTGATCAACGTCCTGTGGCAACCACCCGTGCCTCGCAGCCCCGTGACAGGGTCAACGCTTGTGGGGCAGTTGTCCCAGCATTAGGGGACGACAAATGATCCTAGCGTGATGTGTGTCAGCAATGAGTGTAAATGTGAGCCCCATGTTGTCAACACGTGCGACAGAACTCTGAGAGAGCTTACGTACGCGAGCGACAAATGCCCAACGGGGTACACCTGGCCCCCCAGTTCGCAACTCCGCGATGCTGACGGGGGCGCTGAGCTGACAGTAGGTGTAGACCTCTCCGAGAAAAAGGAACCGATTGAGAATGTTTAACGCAGGGTCGAACTCGGCCCACTCCTCCATACTTACCCCCGAGAGGCGATGTGACAGGGGGAAAAGGTACGAGTGTGGTGCCAGGGGCAGCATGCATGGGTTAAGAATCCCCCCCCCCGAGACACCTAGTAGGAGGAGGAGGAGGAGGAGGAGGAGGAGGAGGAGGATGAGGAGGAGGAGGAGGAGGAGGAGGAGGAGGAGGAGGAGAAGC